ATGCATCCCCACATCCTCAGTCTTCTGCCACAACACTCCTGCACCATCCACACATCACAAATCTGTGTCCTGAGCCCGTCATACTCAAAACTTCCTTGCCCTGAGCCCCTCACATATCCAACCCAAACTCCAGAACCCTCTCGTCCACAAACCTGTGGCTTGCTCAGCACCCCAACCTTCCACCTGAGCCCAACACTCCCCAGCCTGGAGCCCCCTCCCCAAGCCAGCATCCTCTTCTGCTGCATCCAAATTCCCACACCCAAATCCCTCATTCCCACCCTAGAGCCTGCACCGCCTGTCTCAACCCAGTAAGAATGTATAAGGGCTAGGGACAGCAAGTGATGGAGAGGACGGGAAGAGAGAGGATGGGGCCTCAAGGAAGGGGTGTGATTTTCATGCACTGGTGGGTCCCCCTCCTCCCCTTTTTTCCTTTTATTTGCTTGACAAACCTAGGGGTTCCTTGAAAAGCTGAAAAGGGTTCTATGGCCAAATAAAATTGGGAAACACTGATTTAGATAAACATTTTTCTGAAAAAGGCATCCCAGAAGCCCTAATTCCTTATGCTGTTCCTACTGCCCAAACATTACATATAGGATTATTTTTCATATTTCTATCTTTAGTCACGCGGCTAAGCGTGACTAAAGGGCACCCCATGTCCACCCAAAACTTTAAAAGTATGTAAATAAAGGGAAAGATCTTCATTTTCAAACTTAATGTTGCATACACTGTTGACACTTCTATGCAAGAACTCCAGGAAGCTTTTCCTTCTGTTGTTATCCAAAAGCAAATATGTACCTCAGCTTCATCAAATGTATACTCTAGTGCAAAATCATAAGGGTAACCTTAAGGCAAAATAACTTGCCAGTTGTGTATCTCTCTGAATCAGCACATAAGGAGCAACAGTGTAGCAGGTAATGTCTGTGTATAAGAAAGGCCATACTGGTCACACCAATGATCCATCTAGCCCAGTGTCCTGTCTTCTGACCGTGACGAGTGTCAGGTGCCCCAAAGGGAATGAACGGAACAGGTAATCATCAAGTGAGGGGGGATTTGATAGCAGCCTTCAACTACCTGAAGGGAGGTTCCAAAGAGGATGGAGAGAGGCTGTTCTCAGTAGTGACAGATGGCAGAACAAGGAGCAATGGTCTCAAGTTACAGTGGGAGAGGTCTAGGTTGGAGATTAGGAAAAACTATTTCACTAGAAGGGAGGTGAAGCACTGGGATGGGTTACCTAGGGAGGGGGTGGAATCTCCATCCCTAGAGGTTTTTAAGTCTGGGCTTGACAAAGCCCTGGCTGGGGTGGGGCTCGCCCCGGAGGACACGGACTGCGGGACCTCGCGGTCCTGCCGCCCGTGTACTCCGGGGCTTTCTCCGCGTTTCCCTGGTCTGCCCC